TCCCTGGTCTGCAGACCAGGGGGCTGGGGGGGCAAAGCAGAGCCAAGCCGCGGAGCACGGGGGCAGCGGACAGCCCTGTCCGCTGCCCGCGTGTTCCGCCGCTTTGCTTCCTCTCCCTGGTCTGCTGGAGACCAGGGAGAGGAAGGGCCCCGTTCGTAAGTCGGATCCGCGTAACTCGGGGACTGCCTGTAGTATATGCGTCCCTGGTCTGCAGACCAGGGGGCTGGGGGGGCAAAGCAGAGCCAAGCCGCGGAGCACGGGGGCAGCGGACAGCCCTGTCCGCTGCCCGCGTGTTCCGCCGCTTTGCTTCCTCTCCCTGGTCTGCTGGAGACCAGGGAGAGGAAGGGCCCCGTTCGTAAGTCGGATCCGCGTAACTCGGGGACTGCCTGTAGTATATGCGCTTGTGTAAACCTGTGTATGGTTGGTTAGAGGTACTACTGCCACCTTTATTTTTGCTACTTTAGCTAATGACATTTGTTCTTTGTTCGCTTTAATAACTACTTTGTGTACTTCTGTTATTGAGAAGATGGTGAGAAGCCACCTGGCCCAGTTCCAAAGTCGGTACAAAAGCAAAGAAGAATGCTGGAGCGATTAGTAAGCAGTGAATGTAAGTGCACATATCCCGTTTGAAATCTAATGATCGTGATTTAATTTTTCTGATTACACAGCATTTTAGCCCAACATCTAATGTACACAGCTTTTCAGCCTCCGTTGCCTTGCTGTAACTATTACATATCCCCCATGCAGAAGATTTCTCTCTCAAATTTGTCTCTGAGATAAATACTTGATTTAAATAGACTTTGTGTACCTCACCAGCACCAAAAAAGCTGTCCTTGTGGATAGCTGTCTTCACCTATCACTCAAGAGACTGAAATTGAAGTCAGAAGAGCTTGCCATCTCCAGCTCAGAGAAGTCACAGCTTTGAAAAGGGAGAAGCAGCTATTGAGGACACATCAAAATCGTTGCTGTTTTGGCTCTTGCTGGGGAAGAAGAACCTTGTTCACTTTTAATTAGTAAAAGAACTATCATTAGAAGGAAGTTGCATCTTGTATGGTTAAAAAGTTATGGCTGTGCTCTTGTGACACCTGTACAAGAAAACTGGTTTTAAAATAAAGATAATCTTAAGCTTTAAAATTAGAATGTGGTACACGAAGATTCCAAATTATGGGAAGGAAGAGGGAAAGACTGGACTTCACTAGTTCTCAATCACAACGGTGGCTTCCTTAGTAGATAAGAAAGGCAGATAAAAAATGACCAATGTAAAAAGAGGTGCTTTGTCTAGCCTTTCTTGCAGTGCAGGAACAAAGAGACACCTGACTTTTTGAAAAGGCCGCAAATTTAACACTGATTAAAGGAAATAGCTTCCTCATTCACATCCATTTATCTCCCACGAAGCATTAAGCTAAGATATGTGACACCATTATTAACGACAGGACATAATAGGATTGAAAAAAGATTAAGCATTTCAGATGGGACATACAAATTAAACTAGCAGGATTTATAAACAAAACACATTTACGGGGATTCCTACTTCTGGATGTAATTCAACAGTCAACTGATTGGTGTTAAAAAAAAGATAATCGCCTCCCTCTGTCCCCTTCAGGGTATATAGGTTGGTTAATGTATTATTATTTCTAGAATCTTAGGACTGGAAGGGACCTCGAGAGATCGAGTCCAGTCTCCTACCCTCATGGCAGGACCAAATACTGTCTAGAGTCTAGACCATCCCTGATAGACATTTATCTAACCTGCTCTTAAATATCTCCACAGATGGAGATTCCACAACCTCTCTGGGTAATTTATTCCAGTGTTTGACAACCCTAACGGTTAGGAACTTTTTCCTAATGTCCAACATAAACCTCCCTTCCTGCAGTTTAAGCCCATTGCTTCTTGTTCTATCCTCAGAGGCCAAGATGAACAAGTTTTCTCCCTCCTCCTTATGACACCCTTTTAGGTACCTGAAAAATGCTATCATGTCCCCCCCTCAATTATTGTTACTGTTGTTTGTTTTTGTTTATTAACATGCCTCTTCCTCTGAAGCTTCTGTAAGAGTTCTGTTGAACAGGAATCCAGACTACATTGAGCATTGATCTTGATCCAGCATGGCAATATCGTATTCCAACCATTGCTCTGCAGCTGCTAATTTTCCTATATGTTACCTATCCTTTTTATAAAGGAAAAAAAAAGAAGGTTGAAAAAAGGAAAACATAAAGAAATGATTGGAGGATTTAAAGATTTAGAACTAACACATAGTTACAAACAATGCACATTGTACCAAAAACATTGTTGTTAAACCTTGACTCCTATTTAGGCCATGTACAGAACAATTCTAATTCTGTTTTTATATTAATATATAAAATGGAAAAATTAATATGAAATCAGTTTCACTCCTGTTCTAGGACTATTTAAGCATCTTACAGGTTAAAATAAGGATGGTAAATATTGATTAATCAAATAGTCAATGCATTTTGCATTGACTATTTGATTAGTTGATAGGGCACCTCCGCCTTTGAAGTGTAGCAACAGCCCTAGGGCTCCACGCGGCACTGCCTCTTTGATGCAACCTGATGCTGGGCTCCCTGCGGTGTTTCAAAGTGGCAGTGCTGCATGGAGCCGGTGATCAGTAGGGGAGTCCCCAGCTGATCCCAGGCTTCAAGCAGTGCTGCCTCTTTGAAGTACCGTCTCCTTCCCCCTCCGCCCCCTTTGCTGCCTCTTTCTAGATAGAGGCAGCAAAGGGAGGGAACAACTAGTCGACTAGCATGTCAACTAGTCCTTCATATCCCTACTGTGTAATAGTAAAACTTAAGTCAATCAAGGTCTCTGTAGTCCCCTCCTTCCAAGCAGGACTAAAGTCAAACTTTGCAGGGCTTCAGGTGGAAGGGGGTGGGGCTAGGATCTAGCCTCACCAGCCAGCCTTTCAATGGCACCTGGCACGTATCTCCAGGGGTTATTTAACAGGCCTGGCTCTCCAGTAACTACTGAGGTGGCAGCAATGGTGGCCAGGAGCCCTGGACCCTTTAAAATAACTGGAAGCTAGAATAGCTCCCTTCCCTTTGCTGCCCCGGCCTGCCCCATCAGCAGCCCTGATTCCAAGTACCTTGTGGCTCATCATATTATGTGGGATTCAGCACTGCATGTACCATACTCTGGGTGAACTGGGGTTTTTTTGCTGGTTTTACATTACCTTGTCATATTATGAGAAGTGCTGTAGTGTGGTGCTTGTAAAAGAGAAAGGATAGGATTCTAGTTAAGGCTTGAGGATGGGATTTAGGCCTGAATATTATTTCTAGCCTTGCCAAACCTTTCATTTGGACGTAAGAACGGCCATACTGAGTCAGACCAAAGGTCCATCCAGCCCAGTATCCTGTCTGCTGAAGTGGCCAATACCAGGTGCCCCAGAGGGAGTGAACCAAACAGAGAATGATCAAGCCATCCCTCTCCTGCCATCCATCTCCACCCTCTGACAAACAGAGATTTGGGCCACACTAAGCTCTCTGGATCAATTTCCACTTCTAGAAAAATGGAAATAGTTGTGTAGGGCCAAGATTGCTGCACTTTTTTTTTTTCTCCCTCCTCCTCAACGCTTCCCCCTGCCCTTGGAAAGCTTGCTGTGTGTCTGGGTTCACTGGAGAATCTTCTGCCTTGGCACATATTGGATGCTATTCTACATTACATTCCACAGCAGCTGATCTTCTGAATCAGTTCTTCTCATTCATGTTGATAACTAACAAATGCATAACAAGCCACTTTGTTCCAGATCCTTCAGCAGCTCTTTGGGTGGTGGTGGGGGGAGAGACCGTAATTTTCTGAAGGCTTAAATGGCAGATGAAATAACAGGAGGGTAAATGAAGTTATATGTAAGTGTAGGCAGAAATTGATGTGCACATTTTTTTTTAAAACTGCAAATGGGGGAGGCAGGGAATTTGTCATAGCCGAACTGAAGAAAAATCTGAATAATAAAGTGGAACCTACAACGTATGCTTTTAATATCAGAAGAGAGACTTGGGTGTTAAGTTACTAATGGCATTTAGAAAAGAGAAGTTTTCATCAAACACTTACAAGTAGGAGATGGGGCTGCTCTCTACTTTCCGTAGATGGAGTTGCGAACTGCAGAAGCAGTTATTACAAGCAGCTAATACCTGGACCCAATCAGTTTAACTTATGCTGTGTATTTTGCCAGAGGCAAGTTTTCTTCTGATTTAATGCATTGCCAACACTTGAAAACTTGATTTACCCCTCTTTGCAAAGATTTGATTTAGGGTGAACTAAGCAGAAGCACATGTAGGATATTATAGGTGACAGTCTCTGTCTGTGGATAGTGGTCACAGTGCCTGAGAATGTAAATGTAATTGCATTTGATTTAACATGCCAGTCACACATTATAAATTCAGAATCCTCACCATCAGCATATCCAAGAAGTGCTGTGCTCTGTTCTCCTCTTCTTGAAAACTTCCAATGAAAGAGATTGAATGACTTCCCGAGGTAGTTTATTCCATTGTCCTTCCTGTTTCTCATTCTACAGCTAAGAGGCTATTTTGTAAATGTCTCCGTGTATGTTCTGACAGGACAAGCTATCTATTCAGTAAGGTCAACAACCACTGACGTCAGTAGAAACTTCCATTAATTTCTGTGGACTTTTGATCAGGCCCTGACTCTCAGTGGTAAGAAAAGGGAGGGTTGAAGAGGAGTAAGGAAAAAACTTAACACGTTTCTTGATGATTCCTTGACATGCACAGTATGGTGCAAGATTACTTTAATTACATTAAAATATGCTTTAAATATGCAAACAAATCAACATGCATGCTTGTTGGCTGAAAATTAAGGCATATAATGCTGCTTTTTTGTTATATTCCTGTACCCGCTCTTTATACTTGTGGAAATGTTTTGGGATAGGAACATTGTTTTATTTAAAACATGCCTAGAATGCATGCTTGTTTGCTATAAGCTTACAACATTTAATGTAAGAATGTTTTTTAAAATTACAGTAACTCCATAGATCCAGTCCATTAAATCCTGTACTTTTAAACTCCTAGTCAATTGTTTCAATTTCCTGTTTGTAACTTAAGCAGATGAGCCTTCATATCTCTGTCAGCTGACTCCCTCAACATATTGAGTGGGAGACTTGTTGTAGGTTTTTGTCATTCAAAAGTCTTTCATATCTGAAGCAGTATCAGGTGTTTCAGTGTGTGGGGAAAGCTGGCATTAATTTTTCCTTATAATTGACATCAAACTTGTTTACCATGGAAACTAGCTAATCTACACTGATTGGGACAGGCCGTGGGAGGCAATTGAGACAACGGTATACATGATTATGTAGCCCAGTACTCTCGAGAAAGTTCAGAGGTTAATCGAAGCCCTCCAATCTCCATTCCATTCATAGGGTCAGAGGGGAGTGTCCTTGCCCTCTTGGTAAAGGAGGAGCTTAGTTGGCAGGCTATGAAATGCCCTCACTTCTTGAGCTCTGCTGCAGCAAGATTTCAAGAAGTTGTAAGGAGCATAATATTATGGTAAATTCCTGGCTTAAAAATAGGATTTTTTTTTTTTACTTTATATGACTGATTATTCTAGGCTCCAGCCACCCCTTCTTCCAGTGTCCGACCCTGCAGCAGGTCTTCACACATTCTGTTCCCTCTGCATTTCTCACCAGCCTTCTTTTTTCATCCTGTTCCTCCCTGATAACCTACTTTCTCCATCCTTTTCTGCTTTCTTTGCTTAGAAACTTCTTTGACTTCCCACTATTTTTCAGTCTCACACTGTCACTTAACAGGCTCACACGTGTGTAATCTCTCGTTTTAAAAAAAAAAAGATAATTTATGGTGATAAAATTGTGTAATTCTTGCCCTTGTCTGTTCCTTTTAGTGCTGCCTCAGATTCAAAGCTCCTCATAGCAGGAAACATGTTTAAAATGTTTGGGGGCACTTTGGACACTTCTTGAAAGAGGAGTTTCAGACCCTTAGCCAAAATCATCCTTCCCCCGCTATTGTATCCAGTTGCAGTCTTTTATCACTTTCTCCCCAGCATGGCTAAATTTAAGCAGTGGCAGATGTAGTGTATTAAAATAATTTATGTGCTTCTGTATTTGATGAATTAGCAAATAAGCAAACAGACAAGATGAGAAAATCATGCTACTACATTATGTAAATGAGCCGTGTTCAATTTGTTGGCCATTCAGTTTAGATTGCTTCCAATGATGCTTCATAGCATGCTGATAAATATACTTCAGAATGTTTAGAAAAAGTATATAGTAGCCAGCCTCATTTTGTATCAAAACTATTAGAGGGAGATTATATGGGGTCTTATGTATGTATGAGAATTAAGAGGCATTGCTGATTTTACTGAGTTAATGAGGTTTCCTAGATATAATAGGAATATATGTAATGTATTCACCAGAGAACTGACTTCTTACTCCACGCAGGTTTTCAGCTGGACATTGAGGAGTTCTTTTCTTGTGGCTCTGTGTGTCTTTTTTAACATGGCAGAGCCACAGAAAATTTAATATTGTTACCCCCAAAATGTTATAAAGGGAGTAGAAAACCTGTGTTATGTTTTTAGATAAATAATAGTGTGATCTGAAAACTTAAAAAATTGCCGGGCACTGGAATAAGTATACAAATACATTTGACAGATGAAAATATTTGCACTGAAGATTTAATCCTGATAAAACTTGGGCGCAAAATATGAAATGCATTATATTGCATTATATCAAACTGTCTGTCTAAATGCACTAACAGTAGTGTATTTCATAATGTTCTCAAATGAACACTTTCACTTAATTTATTTCTTCTTTCATATAATTTGTGTATTATAGTAGCATATATTGGTCTAAATATGACCCATTACACTTACAGGATGTATTGTGACCAATTATTGCCACCAAAATTAATTTCCTATCGCTGAACAGGTCACAAAATAAACTCTTGTTAAAAGGAGGGCAATTTCTCTGTAGTACAAACACAAAGTTTGTTGGAAAATAATTTCAACATCTGCCTTAGAAAGGATGGTCCATGAAGTACAATTAATGGGATGCTAGCACTGTAATTTTGAGCTGTCTTTTTGTTATCTTCATTATAACTTTCAGCTAAGAACTATATGGCTTTGGATGACTTTGTTGAAATAACCAAGAAGTATGCAAAAGGAATTATCCCAACCAACCTATTTGTGCAGGAAGAGGATGACGACGAATTGGCTGGAAAGAGTCCTGAAGAACTACCACTGCGACTAAAGGTGAAAACTAGTTAAACACCTATTGTGTGATATGTATTGAAGACTTGTTAGTTATCTATTTGTGGCCAAAATAGCCTACCTTTAAATGATCATCCTGCAAAGCTTGTATCTAGTCACTCAAAAGCAACATTGATACAACTTGTGTGAGTGTATTGTTGCATATGTACACATACAGTACATGATGTTTTTGTATGTATGACAAAATTAGAAGGAAGATGTATTGAAAACATAAATTATCCTTGACGAGGATAACTGTCTTTCTTTGCCATTTTTTTATTTAGATGTATATCTGCATTTATTAATTAGAGATACCGGCAAATAAACAAATGAAATGTTCATATGCAAATGGGAAACCTAGCAATGGACTAGATGTGTAAGACACCTCAGTCTTCTGCTGTGAGGAAATTTAAAGGAAATTGGTCAGCAGTGGTTTATGCAGACTAACACTTCAATGTTGAAATAGTACAAACAAAATCTAAATCGGAAGACTGATATGTATATGTGTACACTGATCCAAATGTCAAAATAGCAGCAGGTAGGGGCTGTCATGCTGAAATGAATAAACCAGTTCCTTATTTGTCCTCCTTTGATGATATGTCAAATGTTAAGGGACAAGAAAAAGACTATATTTCCTCTAATGCTTCCAGGTAACTAATGTTCTGAAGGAGATGTGTTTCAGCAGTGAAAAACCTTACACTTAACATCCTGGGCTTGCTGCCCCAGTTAGTGATGATGTATTCCTCTCTGTTGAAAGATTCTTGGCCTCTCTTTTGAAGTACTTGACACAAAGGCATAAGTTTGGCACACCATGGAAACTGATGTATTTTTGTGTAGTTTCGGGGGCTGTGAAAGTTTTATACTTGCCAGCATTTTTAGTTCAAAATTTGCTTAAGATGTACTATTTTCCTAGATAGTCCTTTCCATCTTTCCTGCAGAAAGGGGATGTCTTTTTTTTATTATAGTATCTCCAGTGGTATTTGGCAAGTCACTTTGCTGGGCAGATAGTCCCCATAAAGGATAAGTGGAATATTAAAGGCTCTGTAATATAACTGATTGTGAGTTAAATGAATAATCACATATTTGTACATAGGAAGGGCGATGATTTAATACTAGGCGTTTATAATAAAAAGAGTCTGAAAAGGACTAGTAGTTTTTGATAGTTGCTTGATTATATACTTAGGAAGGAAAATTTTGGAAAATGCACATTAGTTGTAAAGGTGTAAGTCTTGTCCACATGGCAAAGGATGTGAATTTGCAGGGCAAGTCGGGATGTAAATTTGTGTGGTAAGCACTTCTTATGGACACTGCTATAGCTTTGTAAAAGTACTGGCATGTGGCTCAGCGTACCGCTTCGCATGCTTTCATTGGGCTGTAGCAATGTCCAAGTGGGACAGGCAAGCCAGGATGCCCCAGATTAACACTCTGTCTTGCCTCATAGTAAATTTGCCATGTAGACAATCATGTATAGTGTCAATGTGTATAACAGTGCACAGCGTGAGACTGAATTCCTAGAGATGCCAACAGCTTCAGGAATGACACAAAATGGTAGAGAAATTGAAGTACAGTAGTTAATCATCATCATCATCATACCTAGGAGCACTTCAGTAGAAACCTACTTGAGAGAATGCTAGATTAGGAAGCCTTTTCATAAAAATGATATGAAGTATTGATATTGAGGTTTGTCTTCCTTTCTGAAAAATGTTTAGATCTCAGAATAGACAGGTAATGTAGTCTGTGCCTCATCAGGTGAAGTTAATATAAAAAAAAATTGTCACAGAGAAAATCCCATTTTGTTGTGCACCACCTCCCTAAATAGATGTATTTCAAAGCAAGTTAAGCTTGACTTTTACTGCTACTGCTTCAACATGAATGTACAGACTGTACATGTATAAAAGTGTTGTTAAATAAACCGTTTTCCTTTCTTTTTCAGGTTGTAAAATATCCACTTCATGCCATTATGGAAATTAAAGAGTACCTTAAATATATTGCTCTCATCTTCTTCTTCATCATCAGTAATCTGACAATTGATTTTTTCGCCTTCTTTATCCCATTAGTCATCTTCTATCTGTCCTTCATTTCCATGGTGATTTGCACACTGAAAGTCTTTCAAGACAGTAAGGCCTGGGAAAACTTTCGCACCTTGACTGACTTATTGCTTCGTTTCGAGCCAAATCTAGATGTTGAGCAAGCAGAAGTGAACTTTGGGTGGAATCATTTAGAGCCATACGTTTACTTTTTGCTCTCAGTTTTCTTTGTCATTTTTTCCTTCCCTATAGCAAGCAAAGACTTCATACCTTGCTCAGAGTTGGCTACCATCTCTATTTTCTTCACAGTGACAAGTTATATGAGTTTAAGCACTTGTGCAGAACCCTACACACGGAGAGCTTTAGTGACTGAGGTGGCTGCTGGCTCCCTCTCCCTATTGCATATACTGCCTATAAATTTGGGCTATTTGAAGTATTTAGGTAAAACCTTCTTTACTGTTCCTATAGGCCATTTCTTCATACTAAATGTGAGCATCCCTTGCCTTCTGTTCCTATACTTGTTCTATCTCTTCTTTAGAATGGCACAACTGCGGAATTTTAAAGGCTCCTACTGTTACCTGGTTCCCTACCTGGTGTGTTTCATGTGGTGTGAACTTTCAGTGGTTATTCTACAAGAGTCCTCCTGCATTGGTCTCATTCGTGCGTCAGTTGGCTATTTTCTCTTTCTTTTTGCACTGCCAGTTCTAATGGTAGGCATCGCACTCATGTGTCTTGTGCATTTCATTAAGTGGTTCATATCTTTGGAACTCATGAAGATTGTGGTGACTCTTACTTTGTGTGGTATTCCTTTGCTTTTCCGATGGTGGACAAAAACTAACTTTTCAATGGTTGAAATGATGAAATCCCTGACCAGGAGCTCTATTGTGAAACTCATTTTGGTATGGATTACTGCCGTAATATTGTTCTGTTGGTTCTATGTGTACCGATCAGAGGGAATGAAAGTCTACAACTCTACCTTAACATGGAATCAGTATGGCTTCCTCTGTGGACCCCGGTCATGGAAGGAGACTAATATGGCACGCACACAAATTATCTGTAGTCATCTGGAAGGACACAGAGTGACATGGACTGGGCGTTTCAAATATGTCAGGGTTACAGAAATTGAAAATAGTGCAGAATCTGCAATAAACATGCTTCCACTCTTTATTGGTGATTGGATAAGATGTTTGTATGGTGAAACCTATCCTGTGTGTGACCCAAAAAATGTTACCATGGATGAGGAAGAACTGTGTCGCCTCAAGTATCTCACAAAGCATGACTGTCACATGAAAAAGTTTGATCGATACAAATTTGAAATAACTGTGGGCATGCCTTTGAATGGCAAAAATGGAACTAAAGCTGTAGAGGAGGATGATATAACCAAAGATATTGTGCTGAAGGCAAGCAATGAGTTTAAGAAAGTGTTGTTGAACTTGAGGCAAGGAAGCATAATTGAGTTCAGCACAATTCTGGAGGGTCGTCTTGGCAGCAAGTGGCCTGTCTTTGAACTGAAAGCAATCACTTGCTTAAATTGCATGTCTAAACTTACACCTGCAGGAAGGCATGTGAAAATAGAGCATGACTGGAGAAGCACAGTGCAAAAAGCCATTATGTTTGCTTTTGATTTTTTCTTTTTCCCATTCCTATCAGCTGCATATTGAGCTCACATACTGATTCAATGCTATCTTCAATGTGTACCGCAGTAACACTACCAAAGGTTTGGTTTCTTAACAAAACTTGCTGTAGCAGTGTTCAAAACATATGCTATTCCGGAGTATTGGTTGAATTTTGTAGGTGTAAACACTGTACGCAGTCCTTCTATCCCATAGGACTGAAGTTATAAATTCTAATTAAATATTATTTTAAATGAATGCACAAAATTGCTACAGAGTAGATGCATGAGCTGTTTTTATCCAAACTGAACTCTTTCTGTGATATTATGCTAGGGTATGTTCATCTGCTTGACATTAAAAGCACTTTACTCGTGAAATATTCACAGCATTGCCATTATGTACTTTCACATGTAGAATGGATATCTTGTAGACAACCTAAGATGTAATGTTTCTTGTATTTATTCAGTGGTTTCTAGAGAAGTATTAATTATACAATTAGATTGAATCTGGTGCCATGTGACTGGTGTGTTTAGAATTGAATTTCTTTGCTATTTTTTAGTTAGATTTGATTTGAAAAAGTAGACAACACTTCACACACCAGCAAGGTTGCAACAAGAACTCTGGTCTCCATTTTAGTTTTATTAAGATTTCTTAAAGTGAACATGCTATTCACTGTAACTGTTTGATAGCGATATATGGGACTATCTGTTATAATCTATACAGTAATAGCATATGAATGATAAGCGCCAGGTAGACAGACTGGTATTGTGGTGGTACTAAAAATAAGCAAGCCAAATCAATTGAAAAGCACTGTATAGAAATATATAATGGAGACTGAAATAAAATGTCTGGTTAAAAATGTGTATTGTTCAAATATATGTAAATAGAAACTTGAATTAAAATGGGATTCTATACTTCATTGCTTATGCTTCAACATTGTGAGTAGTTATTTCCAATACAATGGTAACAGCTTTAAATTATAAACCATATTACATTATACTATTTGGTTTAAAACACAATTCCAGTTTTGGAGTGCTAGAAACTATAATTCATATTATTTCAAGATACAGCAGTAAAATTAAAATATTGCAAGCCGCTGTAAACTTGCAGCTGCATGATCTGAATAATATACTTTCCTTTTATTTTCTACTTTATTCCAGTTTCTATGGTCAGATAATATACCATGGTTGTTTCAAAGAACATATTGCATTATTTAACTCTCAGAAAACTCTCTTCTTGACCCAGTCTTTCATTCCTCAATCATAAGAGCAACTATACTGAGTCAGACCAATGGTCCATCTAGCCCAGTATCCTGTCTTCCTACAGTGGCCAATGCCAGGTGCCCCAGAAGGAAAGAACAGAACAGGTCACCATCAAGTGATCCATCCCTTGTTGCTCATTCCCAGCTTCCGACAAACATGCTAGGAATGTTGTTCCTGACCATCGTGGCTAATAGCTATTGATGAACTTATCCTTTATGAATCTGTCTAGCTCCTTTTTGAACCCTGGTAAACACCTGGCCTTCACAATATCCTCTGGCAAGAAGTTCCACAGGTTGACTGTGTTGTGTGAAGAAATTCTTCCTTTTGTTCAGTTTAAACCTTGTACTTATTTAATTTCAGTTCTTGTGTTATGGGAATGAGTAAATAACTTTTCCTTATTTGCTTTTTCCATACAGTCATAATTTTATAGACTTCCTGTATCACAGCCCTCTTTAGTTTCCCCTTTTCTAAGATGAATAGTTCCAGTCTTATTAATCTTTCCTCATGTGGCAGCTGTTCCAAACCCCTAATCATTTTTGTTGCCCTTTTCTGAATTTTTTCCAATGCCAAGATACCATTTTTGAGGTGAGGCAACCACATATGTACACAGTATTCAAGGTGTGGGCATACCATGGGTTTATATAGAGGCAATAAGATATCCTCTGTCTTATTCTCTATCACTTAATGATTCCTACATTCTGTTCATTGCTTTATTGGCTGCTGCTGCACATTCAGTGGATACATTCAGAGAAATGACTCCAAGATCTCTCTTGGTCGGTGGTAGCTAATTTAGTCCCCTCATTTTGTATAGATAGTTGGGCTTATCCTTCCCTTCTTTTAAACCTCTACTTCTTGCAAGGCCCATTAACCCCAATCCTTCTCTTCAGAGCACTATCTAGATAGACTCCAAATTGTTCAAGGCAAGCATACTGTTTTCCATACCTGTTGTAAAGCTCCTTTCACATTTCCTGAGGCTGTACAAATTAATAATGGAACTAATGACTTTGATCCATAATTTAATAAAATTAATGTCACAAAATTAGAAGGAAAATAAAACCTTAGCCTTCGTTTTGGTATAGTTGGGCCTCCTTCTCTCTCCCTGACTTCCTCCCGACCCCCACAGTGTTGTTCTTTTGGGGGGATTACCGTAGCTCCCAAATATTCAACAATCCATGAGGGAGGTTATTCAAAATCATTGTCTTAAAATATCAGGAGACTTGAAAATAGAATCATAGAGCTGTAAGAGACCTCAGGAGGTCATCAAGTCCAGCCCCCTGTTCAAGGTAGGACCAATCCCAACTAAATCAACCCAGCCAGGACTTTGTCAAGCCGAGACTTAAATACCTCTAGGGATGGAGATTCCACCACTTCCCTAGGTAACCCATTCCAGTGCTTCACCACCCTCCTAGTGAAATAGTTTTTTCCTAATATCCAAGCTAGACCTCTCCCACTGTAACTTGAGGCCATTGCTCCTTGTTCTGCCATCTGTCACTACTGTGAACAGCCTTTCACTATCCTCCTTGGAACCTCCCTTTGGGAGGTAGAAGGCTACTATCAAATTCCCCCTCACTCTTCTCTTCTGCAGACTAAACAAACCCAAATCCCTCAGTCTCTCCTCATAGGTCATGCGCTCTAGCCCCCTAATCATTTTGGTCGCCCTCCACTGGACCAATGCGTCCACGTCCTTTCTATAGTGGGCGGGCCCAGAACTGGACATCATATTCTAGATGTGGCCTCACCAGCCCCTAATAAAGGGGAATAATCACTTCTGGATCTGCTGGCCATGCTCTTCCTAATGCATCCCAATATGCCATTAGCCTTCTTGGCTACAAGGGCACACTGTCGACTCATATCCAGCTTCTTATCCACTATAATCCCCAGGTCCTTTTCTGCAGAACTGCTACTTAGCCATTCGGTCTCCAGCCTGTAACAATAGTTGGGATTCTTCCTTCCCAAGTGCAGGACTCTACACTTCTCCTTGTTGAACCCCATCTGATTTCTTTTGGCCCAATCCTCTAATCTGTCCAGGTCCCTCTGGACCTGGTCCCTGCCCTCTAATGTATCTACCTTGGGGGGAGGGGAGCGGGGGAGTGTTGTTGCATATGTTACTTTGAGCTGTAGGAAGTCCTCTGCGTCCAAAGTGTTTATGAGGCAAAGTTCAACTAAAATGTGTATGCAAAAATATAGGCCTGTCTGCTGATATCATTTTATCCTCTCCTAATTTGTGCAGTGGAGAAGCTGCAATTCTATCCCTCTGCCTGCCCTCTCCCTGCCCTTATCACTGTCCTCTCTCCTTCCCCTCTTCATCTTCCTCTTAAGCCTAGTCAGATTCTTCCCTTACTCACATTTTCCCTTCATGCTCCTCCATAATCTTTCTTCAGTGCACCCCTTCTGTATTTCCTTTCCGTCATCCCACATTTTACCCTCCACCAACCTCCTAATGCTTCCTTTCAAGTGATGTCCTGCTTCAACCTGTCTCCTTACAGATTTGGGGCTGGAGTCAGAGAGGAAACTGGGGTCAGAGGTGGTAGCCATCTTCACTGGGGTAATATCTCTTTCACATGCAAAGTCGAAAGTGAATGGTTGCTGTTTTGTCTGGGAGGCAGTTTTGCCTTCGTGCCCTGTGACTATTTCAATAGGGAAATCTCTTGGGCTTCTAAGCCACAATTCTGAGATCATGAGAGACTTTACGTGGCTGTGCCCTTCTTGTTTTTTACGTGGTCCCTGATCCAAATTACTGTGTGTACTGTTGGGGCTCGTAGCTAACTGACACCTCCATAGCACAGGAGCTAGGGGAGAGCCACAAAGGCAAGGTAGTGGCAAAGGGTTTCTGTGTGATGGTTTTGTCCTCTGGTTTAGGAGCAGAATCTTCTCTTACCAAATAAGAGATAAGAGGATGCTGCCAGAGGGACCACAAAACATCACAAGGTTCCAATGTGAAAAAAAATTTGTGGGAGGCATGATGAACCTTGATTTTGAAATGGGTCAGTTTGTTCACCTGCCTGACTGGCTGCATGCATGTGTATGAGGGAGGAGGGACAGCCCTTCTCCAGGAGATAGGGAAGGTTAAACAAGGTTGCACTCTTAAAATGTTGACACTAACTCTCACTTTGAAGTTAAGTACTTGTAGTTTTTTAAAATCATACACATTTGAAAATGTGGCTTCTTTTTGAATGTTTAAATCAAAGTTTGCATTCTCAGTAATATTAAAGCTCAAAGGAAGTCAGGCTTTGGATTCATCTGCACTTCATCTAAGGAAAGTTCTTTAATGGAGCTCAGACAGCTGTACAGAGCATGGCAACAGGAATTAGAGGTGGTTCTATTCCCAGTTGTGGCAATAATGTTATGTGATGTCACTTCCCAAATCCCACAATACACAGCTGGCAGGAAGAGGGGCCCACACCCCTGCTGAGGGGTAGATTTCAGCAAAAAGGAGGAATTTAGGGCTGATAGCTCACCCACCACCCATTCCCCAACTTCCTCCACTACTCTTCATAGCCTCCAGTCCCTCGCCTATTCTCCCACATCACCCTTCTCCCCATCCCACCCATTCCCATGTATTCCGTCTCCTTTCTCAGTATTTGTATATGCAAATAGTTTTCTTCAAATATTTTGCTGTAGTGTGATAACATTTTTCCTATATAAATAGTGTTGGGACCAGTATATTTTTTCCCCACTGTTTAAGGTTGGTTTTCAGATTTCTGCCCAGGATGCATGCCAAAGTTTAGAGTCATTGGCTCACAGAGGTGTTCGTTGTTCCATTCATCTCAAAGAAATGTTCTCAGCTGAATGTGAGTATCCCATGGTGATGAGTAGAGCTTGAACCAATAGCTCTGAGATGTGAAAACTGCTCCATTTGTGTATTTAGATGTTTCTTCCCCCCTCACCCTTGGTGGAGAGTGTCTGATATAATTTGAGCAAATATGGTCTGAGTAGCCCTTACCCTAATGTCAGCTATGTGATTTTTTTTGGGGGGTGCGTACTCTACTATGTAAGCTCTTCACCAAAAAAGACAGGGCTTTGTGGGTGTGGGAATAAAGGGGGTCTCAGCGCTGGATCTGGCCTACAGGGCGCTGAAGGCAGGATCCAGGCATAAGAGCCTGCCTTCATAATTCTCTAAACCCAGCTTGGAAGCAAGATGACCCTCAGCTGAATGGGGGGCTGTGGTGTAACAGAAAAAAGGGCAATACAAGGATTGCCTCAGGATTAGCCACAAAGTTTCCTAATTTGGGGCCTTACCATACGTTAGGCCATCCAGTTACCCAGTCTGATGCCAGTAAAATAAGGCTTCAAAATGCACCATCTAAGGAATCAATAAGTAGGGTCCGGGGAAAGGTAGCCTCTCCATATTAAGAAGCAAAGAGGTTGGGTCCGAAAAGGGGTGATCCTCACCATATTAGGAAACAAAAGGATGATTTGGAAAGAAAGGGATAGGGTGGGTACCAAGAGAAGGGTAGGGATAAAAGATGCTGTAACCATAATTCAGGGCTCACTTTGTTGGTTGCGAGGTGGAGGGGAATGAGCGGTCTGGATGCTGTAACTGAATAAATCGCTTCTTACCACTCCACCCGGCTTTGTCCATCATTTGGCCCTGCAACAGGCTTCCCCGATCTCGGTTCATAGTAGGAGTGGGTGGAGAAAGTGGGATCAGA